TTTCCCTTCTGATTTTGTTGCTAAGAAACAACATGCTTAATCCTCTCCACCCTGCCTGTCCACCTCTAGGCTTCTAACGCCATTACAATAAATGAGCTTCCTACCTGTCAGGTCAGGGAGCAGGGACTCCAAATTGTCACCTGAAGATGTGGTACTCTGCTTGGAAGGGGATGGCTAAGGGATTTGTTTGGAGGCTCTATTTGTTACAGATATACTGATCTTATATGCATTACATTTTAGAGTGGCTTTTTCCTTCCTCCCAAGTTGCCCCTTGGCATGTCTACGAAAGTCATACTCTAACTTTCAGTGGGAAATGGGTGATCTTTATTGCGGTTATTTATTGGCAAATCCCCACTCAGAAAGTCTTCAAGACATGGGATGCACCTTTGAAACACTGCCAATTTGTGAGCATACCCTGCCTGCTTTCATTGGGAGGAAAGTTTTCTGGGTCAACCCATATCTATAGTTAATGGTTGTTTATCTAATAATAATGGAAAAAATAGAGAAAAATAATGATGGAGGATAGAGAAAAAAGCAGTGGTCAGAAATAATTTATACCTGGCTTTGAGATACATTATACCATTGCTTTTACAACAGATCCTATTAATTTTGTTCACTTAGATTAACATTAAAAATAACATACATCAACTGAAAGCTGAAGGTTGTAGCCTAACTCAGACTTAGGCTAAGAAGTAGGAACAAAACAATTAGGGATTAAAATATTATCATCATAATTTACAAAGTAGAGGGTTTACAGAAGAACAGGTAACTTCATTCTGTGTAGCAGGACTTACTCTGGAAAGTCACATGCAGTTCTTTTTTTTTTTTTTTTTTTCCCCAGTATGTGGGCCTCTCACTGTTGTGGCCTCTCCCGTTGCGGAGCACAGGCTCTGGACATGCAGGCTCAGCGGCCATGGCTCACGGGCCCAGCCGCTCCGCAGCATGTGGGATCTTCCCGGACCGGGGCACGATCCCATGTCCCCTGCATCGGCAGGCAGACTCTCAACCACTGCGCCACCAGGGAAGCCCTGACATGCAGTTCTTAAACATGATAATTTATATATATATTCTGTATTATTATTTATCTATAGATTGTTCAGAAGACCTAGGTTTGAAACAAGTGTTGATCCCCTTCCTCTCTACGGCAGGCTCAGAAAAACCATGATGTTACTACAGTAGGTTAAAGAGCTTGACAGTTTTTAGTAACTGTCTATTTTAATGGTTCTCTACTTCTTGCTATTCTTATTCTAGACAAAAGGTTGGACTGGGGATATTTTGGTTTTCTAATTTTGCACATCAGTATAACTAAAACAAATTAAGTCTCAGTCTTACCTTAAAGGAAAGAATTTTGTTCTTACAGGAGAGGGTAGAAATTTTCTTACAGTGCACAGAGATGGTTACTGCCAGACCTCTAGTGAGGCTGTCTTTATACATACATATGATAAATATGGTCTGGGGTGCATTATCTAAAATAAACATTCACAAATGAGAACACTAGTTAGAAGAATTTTTCCAAATAAGCATTTAGGGAAATTAGCCAAAGGATAATTCTTAATAGGACCATTACCAATCCCACACTCTGAGATTCAGCCATGTAGCAGAAGGAGACTTATACACAGTGACACACATATCCTTTAAAACACATTTAAATATGTATTATAATACAAATGCTGCAACTTTTAAAGTGTTTTAGAGATATTCTGAATTCTAAAAGATTGTCTTTAGCTTTTAAATGCTAAATAGAATATTAAAGTTCTATCTGTTAAGGTAAAACTTTCAGCATTTTTCAAGAGTGCATCATTCACTTTTTCAACTCTGCCTAAACTCTGTTATTTGAAATTCATTCCTTGGAAGGCACAATAAAGTTACTCATTTTCTAAGGCACTCTAAATTTCTGGTGGAAGACAGACTTATTAGAAGTGCTTGTATATTTATATTTAATTTTGACTTCTGAAAATGTTATCAGCAATTTCAGCTATAACCACCAGGTATTAAGGATCCAACTCAATGGACAACATATACAGTTCATGCAATTACAGTGAAGGGATGGTGATCCAAATGTAGGCTCAAAGATCATGACCCCAGCACTATCTTTACTGTATCAATTTTTCAGCCCAACTAAAAATTATGGATGCCCTATAAAGTTTCTTGTAAGTGAAATTACTACTACCATGACTTTTCATATAGGCACTAGGTCTATCACAGAAAATGTAGTCAGTTAAATGGAATGGGAAGAAGTAGCTTGTCATTTCCATGTTTACAAATGTATATAAAAAAATACCTGAACAGTCAGAATCAGGCATATCCTCAAAGACGGGTTGACTTTCCTTGTTAATGAGGAGAACTTGGTCATTCAAATTTCGTATGACTGAGAACTTAGGTTCAAGCTTGCCAAAGTAATCTGATTCCAGGTCTTCTAAGACACACATGAAATCTCATTTAAAAAATCATCTTTTTTTTCTAAATTTACAAATAGGCATGTTATATATTCCAGCTTTCAATAACAACCGCTATCTTCTGTTATAAAAGCTGAGGTAAAGTTGCACAGTGCTTTTTTACCCACTTCCAGGGGCATACCTTGATTCCTGTTATCACTCAGAACCACTCTACTTTTGAAATCTTAAATTCAAATATCCTACTTTTGACCACAATCTCCTATCCTTTTAGTTTTCGTATACTTTTCTTCCACTTTACTGAGTCTTCCTGATTCTTACATTTTCTTCCTATCTAACCTCTTCCTGTCTTCTCTTTCTTCTCTATGCAGCCTGGACCTCATGGTTCATCATTTTATCTACACTTTTGCCAGTATCTTAAATCCCAAACTCATTTGCCTTTTACTACAAAACTCTAAACCAGGCTGCTGAGTGCGCTGCTGGTAAACAATCATACAAATGTGCAAATTGGTGCCATAACAAACACATCACTTGTCAATACTTCTTTTCCAGTTCAGCATTCTCTTCCATAGTCCATAGCTTCAATTTCAAGCCTTTTTCATTCTCCTCAGGATCTCTGCCTCATCACCTCTTCTTTCACTTTCAGCAAATGATTTCCTGCTACTCCACTTACAAACTTAACTATGGCATCACCTGTTATTTTCTCTACACTCTTGTCCCAAGGGACATGTGAAAAAGGTGTATCTTCTGCTACCTAAGGTTAACCCCATTTGTGCTCTGCATGTACTTTCAATTAAACCTTGATTTATCAATTATTCCCTCTCTTCCATCAACTCAGCAATTCTACTTCCTGGATTTTATCCTAAGGAAACATTAGAGAAATGTGTAAATATTTCTCTACAAGAATGCTTATGGGAACACTTTAATAATAAAAACAAACTGGAAATAACTTAAATGTCCATCAATTGGGAATTGATCAAATAAATTTTCATATGCCCTTACTATGAATTATCATGAATTTAATATAATTGTAATTATTCATTGCCATGGAAAGATGTCCATGTGTATTAAACTAGAAAAAGAAGCTTAGGTATAGTATTATATATATATATATATATATATATATATATATAAAACATCAAAATGATAGAAATGAATATTTTGGGTTTTTTTCATATTTTAGATTCTTATTTTCTTATCTTCATTGCCCGGATTATTTATAATAAACAAATTATTTTTATAATCAGAAAGACATAAGGCTTTACATTTTGAGATTTAAAACACCTCCATCAACAGAAACCCACTTTGTAGCTAGTATTGTTTCTCTCCTCCTTTTAACAGCCAAGCTTCTGGCAAGAATTGTATGTATCATTTCCTCACTTTCTATTCACCCTTCTACTCATTGCAAGCTTCTCCTCACTGGCTCTATTTCTCAATCAAATTGCTTTCACCGAGATCACCAAACTCCCTGTTGCTAAATGTAATAGATACTTTCTGGCTCTTGGTTTTCAAGGCTACAAAATTCAACACAGTGCCTATTATCTCTGTCTTGAAATGCTCTCCTGGGATTCTGTGGCATTCTCTGTTTTTCTTCTTCTTTGGTTGCTCTGTTCTTTATTAGCTTCTCTTTCTACTGAATCCTTTAAATGTAGGTATTCCTCAGAGTGTAGTCCTTGGCTTTTACTTCCTCATGCTACACATTTCCTCTGATTTGTCATGTTATTCTTATAGCTTCAGATGTAATTTCTATTGTATGTATGACTCCTATATCCATATATCCAGCCCCATATTTTCTCCTGAGTTTAGAACCACATGTCCAAGAATCTACTGGACATCTCCATTAGGATGTTCCACAGATATCATCATTCATCATCAATAAATTCATCATCTATCTTCCTCTTTGCCCTGCAAACCTCTCTACCCTGCTCTTCCTCTTGCGTTTCTTATTTCACTTAATGGTATAAATTGCCTACGTGAAAAAACATAGGCATCATCTTTTCTGTCTTTCTTTCCATCCCCTTCCAAATCCATGTCCTGTTGATTCTTCCAAGTTTTTCTAAAATCCATCCACAGCTCTTCAATGGTACCCCACTGTGCCTACCTTAATTCACATCGCCATCATTTCTTATAGGGACTACAATAATAGCTTCTTAATTGGCATTCCCCTCCCCTCTTCTTTTGCCCCCACAGCAATTCTTTATACTGAAGCCAGAAGGAATTAAAATTCAATTTTCATTAAAGTTAAAATTCAGAGATACGATCATGTTATCTTTGAATTCTAATGAATGACTCTGCCGCCCAGAATAAAGATTATATTTTCCGTATTTTCCTTGCAGTTGGTGCCGTATGACTAAATTCTAGTCAATGGAGTATGAGTGGATTTGATGTTTACAACTTCTAAATAGAGCTTTTAAAAGGAGTGGGCCTGTCTTCCTCTTATTTTGAACATCTTCTTGCTAGCTGGGATATGGACCCAGGAAGTGTAATGATGATTTTCAAGTATGTAAATGAGTTCAACAACTAGGGATGATGGAATGGAAGAAGACAGAAGAAACTTTAGATTCCAACGTCATCAGGCTGCATCCAGCCATACTAATACTGAACTGCCTACTTGGATTCATATTTGAGAGAAATATTTTCTACCTTATTCAGTTACTGTATTTTTGGATCTCTTTGTTACAGCAAACTAATCTGTATCCTAGATCATACATATTGTGCTTAATGAATCACCATTGCCCCAAAGATAAGGTCCAAATTCCATATCTTGGAATAACAGAATCTTCTCAATCTGCACCCTATTTATCTTTCTTCTCTCATCATTTTCCTACTCTTACTCTACTCCCATTATGAATTACTCTTAATTCCTCACACATACCATGCTTTCTTTCATATCTTGATCTTTGCATGTGTTCTCCTCTCTGCACAGAATACCTTCTCTTGGCTAACCCCTATTTACTCTTCAATTCTGTTCCTCTTTCAAAATGCCCTCCCAGAATCTACTGGATTAAATTAGGTGCCCTTCTATGTGCTCCCATAGCATCTGTGCCTTCATAACACTTAACATACCACATTCCATTTGCCTCCCTAATGTGCCTGCTTCTCTCTATAGGAACTGTGTTTTGCTCACAACTGTACTGTAGGGCCTAACATAGTGCCAGAGATACAGATGCCAATATTTATTGAATCAAATAAATGGGAGTAGGGCAATCTTTAAGAAACATGAGGAGCTATATGACAATAACATTTCAATAAATCTGGAAAAGAAACTGGAAGGAATAGTATTTTTCAAAAGTTCCTGTTGTATATTTCCAGTCCAGTAAGGATCACCATAAGAATGGAGAAAGTGCTTTTTAAGGAAAAGTATGAAAAACTAATGACCTTTAATAATCTGGGGGTCCGTGAGAGCAGCAGTCCCCAACCTTTTGGCACCAGGGACTGGTTTCTGGAAGACAATTTTTCCATGGACCGGGGCCGTGGTTTGGGTGGCAGGCTGGTTCGGACGGTAATGCGAGTGATGGAGAGCAGCAGGTGATGCTTCGCTCCCTCACCCTCTGCTCACCTCCTGCTGTGCGGCTGAGTTCCTAACAGGCCGCAGACCGGTACTGGTACTGGTCCACGGCCCAGGGGTTGGGGACCCCTGCGTTAGAGGATCATAGGCTTTATATGTGTATGATCCTCCCTGAATGCCAACAGGACAAGGAATGGGTACATCTACTTAGGAAGACAATGACTCAACCTAATAGGTCTGTTTGCTCTACTTTCCCCCATTTCCTCTACTTCCAGAATTCTCTGAACCCTGGGAGCCTCCCAGGCTTCTTTTCAGAGCACTTCTGAGAGGGAAGGTTGAAGAAGGTAGATGTTCCTGATTTTGGACAACAATTCTCATGCTTCAACCCCTTTTCCTACGTACTCCAGAGAATCCATGACTTTCTGCTAATCTCAGGATCTATGTAACAGGCAAGGTCTACTTTGTAGATTCTAATAGCTGAGAATTTCCCAAGATGTAGAGAAGCGTATTTTATTAGAAATTCCCTGATAGTCATCTTTATTCCAAGGCAGTGCTACTGAGTCCACATTCCTTTGAGGGAATATTAGCTTCTCAAATAGATTGGTACCAGTTTTTCAGCTGAGAATGGTGATATGGATGTGCTGGTAGGATGCTTACTCAAGTAGCTATTTATTTTTACAAAGAAAGAGAAATAAATTTATACTTTACCATCATTTTCAGCTAAAGGGGAAAAAAGAGAAACAAAATATGTTAAATTCTATATTTCTACTCAATTTCCTCTTACCCTTCTCTTTTATTACTCTTTTCTGCCCCTCTGCATTCTTTAACCCCTGTCTTACTGTTGATGGCTTTTGTTGGCCCCATAAAAATATAATATAATCATCCAAAAGGTCCCATAAAGTGAAGCTAATTAGACTTAGTGTGATCTCAGGTATGTTAGATATAAAACCTAAATCTAGGGTTTATAAGTTGAAATTTGTAGCCAAAAAGAAATTTTATAAAATGATAGATTTTACTCTTACATTTATTGCTTCAATGGAAAGTCACCTAAGAACTTTCTATGAAGCTTTCAAATGAAACCAAACTGCCCAAGGAAGTTTAATCATAAGAATCTGTTTTCATTTGTCAAATGTATTTACATAAAATGGTATAACTCACAGAACTCTAGATTTCAGATATGTATCTCTTACGTAATTTGCCAGGTTGCTTTGGGAAATCGTATATCCAGTTTTCTGGGATTTTCATGACATGCACCTGCAGCCACCTTGTGAGTAGGCTACTACTAACTAAGTGCCAGGACATGTGTCAGGACAAGGTGCTGCGACCTTGGATATGTTACGGTTAATTTCTAGAGATCCAGTATTTTTTTTTTCAAGAGAAGTGTGTCATTAGTGTTACAATGGAATTTGGTGACAAAAAACAAGTCACTTAAGAGTTCACCTTACAACATCTTTTCTAGTTGAATACATTTATCTAAACCCTGTATTTGGTCTACGGTTTTGAACTTACCTACAAAGTAAAGTGTATTGTTAATAAATTTCATTTCCACAAAGCTGATGCAATTGTCTTCTACTAGTTCAGCAGCCATCTTTATTCCTAATGAAAGCAAAGAGTCATCTGTTAAAAGGTAGTGATTGTTCCTTTTACACAAAAGGAATCTTTTACTACTTATTGCCTTGCTCTACCTCCAATTTCAGAAATCCAGCATGCTGACCAACACTCTGGACATTTAATAAATGCCAGGAATCTTCAGTTTATGAATGTACAAGTTCAAATGTTCTTTCGCAAACCATTAGATATTCGGAATCTAGAAAGCATTTTCTCATTAAACAATGTTATAAAGGGTGGATGTGTGGTCCATTATTGAACTGAATTATTGTTCCAGTATTTTGGTGGAAATATACATATATTATCAGAATAAATATAGGATGCCAGAAACACACCTAATCCTGTCCTTTAACTAGGGGCTGGTTCTATCTCTGTCTTACAACCAATGGGATCCTGTGAGTGAGAGACTGAAGATTGTGACTTCATCGTCAAAGTGCTAAAGGTGAGGCAATGATAAAAAAATGGTGTTTCTACCTGGGAGTGGGGGCTAGGTGGGAGGAGGCTGAAGGGCTCTGGCATCTGATGGCTCTCTTTTTCTCTGAGCAATAGCAGCTTTTGATCTGGAGTCTGGACTATACTATGCTTTTTGCACAAGTAATACATGAATACAATCTTTCTGTAAAACATCAAATAATATAGGATTTGAAAATGTTAAAAATTCTTTTTGCTCTTCTCCTTTGTGCCACCCCACCCAAGGTGTATATCCTTCCAGACCTTTGTTTATGGAGCAGGGGTTCTAAATCTGGGAAATCTGTGAACTTGGATGGGGAAAAAATTACACAATTATTTTCACCAACTTCTAACTGAAATTTAACAGTTCCTTCCATTATGGTGTAGGAAACAAACCACAGTATTATTCACAGTACCTGTAACTATCATTAATAGACATATGTATTTCTTACTGTATTGTAATTGTTGCAGAGATCTTGAAATATGGTTTAAACTCATTTCTACTTTGAAATATATGGAAGTTATTAGTCCTAACAGGATATCTTGTTGTTAATGTGTTAATAAAGATGCACATATATACCTTATCAAAATTTGTTAAAATTTTTTTGATAACCCTTTAATTACAAAGGGTTTCCTTTCTCATTCTAAGTATTTAATTTTATGCATATAAAAGCGTGATTCTGAGAAGGGGTCCACAGACTTCACCCGATTGTCCATGAGGGTCCATGCCACAGAAATGATTAAGAAATTCTCCTCTAGAGTTCAGAAGTCCCTTGGTTTCCTGAGGACAGTTTTATGGTCGGTGCTCCAAGGAAGCTGGTTGGGTCACAGTTGTCAATTGGTATATATGGGGGTGTTCATATGTCTATACTTAGAGGTTGAGAAATGACTCAAATTTTTTCTAGCATAGTTTGCTGAGGCCAAACATATACAGAGGAAGCAGGAAATTAAAACCCAGTAGAAAACACTTAATCCAAATTAAGCTAACACAAAATAAATGTTAGTTGATGGCTATTTTTTGTTTTGTTTTGTTTTACTTTTTAGTATGGAAAATTTGTATACATTGTGAAATGATCACCACAATAAATCTAGTTACCATCTGTCACTGTACAGTTACAAAATCTTTTTGTTTACTGTGATGAGAACTTCTAAGACAACTTATTAGTAACTTTCAAATTTGCAATACAATATTATTGACTATAATCTACATGCTTTACTTTACATCCTATAACTTATTTATTTTATAACTTGAAGTCTGTACCTCTTGATCCCCTTTACTCATTTTGCCTGCCCCATCCCCCTCCCCTCTGTTGACCACTAATCTGTTTTCTATGAGCTTTATTTTATTTTATTTTGTTTGTTCATTTGTTTTGTTTTTTAGATTCCACTTATAGGTGAAATCATGTAGTATTTATCTCTCTGATTTGTTTCACTTAGCATAACACTCTCAAGGTGTATTCATGTTGTTGCAAGATTTCATTATTTTTATGAATGGTAGTCCATTATATATACCATATCTTCTTTTTTTTTTTTTAACATCTTTATTGGGGTATAATTGCTTTACAATGGTGTGTCAGTTTCTGCTTTATAACAGAGTGAATCAGTTATACATATACATATGTTCCCATATCTCTTCCCTCTTTGTCTCCCTCCCTCCCACCCTCCCTATCCCACCCCTCCAGACAGCCACAAAGAACTGAGCCGGTTTCCCTGTGCCATGCGGCTGCTTCCCACTGGCTATCTACCTTACGTTTGTTAGTATATATATGTCCATGTCTCTCTCTCGCCCTATCACACCTCACCCTTCCCCCTCCCCATATCCTCAAGTCTGTTCTCCAGTAGGTCTGTGTCTTTATTGCTGTTTTACCCCTAGGTTCTTCATAACATTTTTTTTTCTTAAATTCCATATATATGTGTTAGCATACGGTATTTGTCCTTCTCTTTCTGACTTACTTCACTCTGTATGACAGACTCTAGATCTATCCACCTCATTACAAATAGCTCAATTTCGTTTCTTTTTATGGCTGAGTAATATTCCATTGTATATATGTGCCACATCTTCTTTATCCATTCATCCGACGATGGGCACTTAGGTTGTTTCCATCTCCGGGCTATTGTAAATAGAGCTGCAATGAACATTTTGGTACATGACTCTTTCTGAATTCTGGTTTCCTCAGGGTATATACCTAGTAGTGGGATTGCTGGGTCACATTATACCATATCTTCTTTATCCATTCATCCATTGAGGGACACTTATGTTGTTTCCATATTTTGGCTATTGTGAATAATCCTGCAATGAACACAGGGGTGAATATATCTTTTTGAATTAGTGTTTTTTGTTTTCTTCAGATAAATAAACAGAAGTAGAATTGCTAGATCATATGGTAGTTCTATTTTTAACTTATTGAGGAGATTCCATACTGTTTTCCACAGTGTCTGCACAAATTTACATTTCCATCAACAGTGCACAAGAGTTCCCTTTTTCCCACATCTTCTCCAACACTTGTCATTTCTTGTTCTTTTGATAATAGCCATTCTGACAGATGCGAGACGATAAGTCGTTGTGGTTTTGATTTGCATTTCTCTGATGGTTAGTGATGTTGAGCATCTTTTTTATGTACATGTTGGCTATCTGTATGTCTTTTTTGGAAAAATGTCTATTCAGATCTTCTGATCATTTAAAAAATATTTTTTTAAAATTTATTTATTTATTTATTTATGGCTGCGTTGGGTCTTTGTTGCTGCATGTGGGCTTTCTCTAGTTGTGGCAAGTGGGGGCTATGGGCTTTTCATAGCAGTGGCTTCTCTTGTTGCAGAGCACGGGCTCTAGGTGCATGGGCTTCAGTAGTTGTGGCTCACGGGCTCTAGCGTGCAGGCTCAGTAGCTGTGGTGCATGGGCTTAGTTGCTCCGTGGCATGTGGGATCTTCCCAGACCAGGGCTAGAACCTGTGTCCCCTGCATTGGCAGGTGGATTCTGAACCACTGTGCCACCAGCGAAGCCCCTTCTGACCATTTTTTTTTTTTTAACATCTTTATTGGGGTATAATTGCTTTACAATGGTGTGTTAGTTTCTGCTTTATAACAGAGTGAGTCAGTTATACATATATATATGTTCCCATATCTCTTCCCTCTTTGTCTCCCTCCCTCCCACCCTCCCTATCCCACCCCTCCAGACAGCCACAAAGAACTGAGCCGGTTTCCCTGTGCCATGCGGCTGCTTCCCACTGGCTATCTACCTTACGTTTGTTAGTATATATATGTCCATGTCTCTCTCTCGCCCTAACACACCTCACCCTTCCCCCTCCCCATATCCTCAAGTCTGTTCTCCAGTAGGTCTGTGTCTTTATTCCTGTTTTACCCCTAGGTTCTTCATAACATTTTTTTTTCTTAAATTCCATATATATGTGTTAGCATACGGTATTTGTCCTTCTCTTTCTGACTTACTTCACTCCGTATGACAGACTCTAGATCTATCCACCTCATTACAAATAGCTCAATTTCGTTTCTTTTTATGGCTGAGTAATATTCCATTGTATATATGTGCCACATCTTCTTTATCCATTCATCCGACGGCGGGCACTTAGGTTGTTTCCATCTCCGGGCTATTGTAAATAGAGCTGCAATGAACATTTTGGTACATGACTCTTTCTGAATTCTGGTTTCCTCAGGGTATATACCTAGTAGTGGGATTGCTGGGTCATATGGTAGTTCTATTTGTAGTTTTTTAAGGAACCTCCATACTGTTCTCCATAGTGGCTGAACCAATTCACATTCCCACCAGCAGTGCAAGAGTGTTCCCTTTTCTCCACACCCTCTCCAGCATTTATTGTTTCTAGATTTTTTGATGATGGCCATTCTGACTGGTGTGAGATGATATCTCATTGTAGTTTTGATTTGCATTTCTCTAATGATTAATGATGTTGAGCATTCTTTCATGTGTTTGTTGGCAGTCTGTATATCTTCTTTGGAGAAATGTCTATTTAGGTCTTCTGCCCATTTTTGGATTGGGTTGTTTATTTTTTTGTTATTGAGCTGCATGAGCTGCCTGTAAATTTTAGAGATTAATCCTTTGTCAGTTGATTCATTTGCAAATATTTTCTCCCATTCTGAGGGCTGTCTTTTGGTCTTGTTTATGGTTTCCTTTGCTGTGCAAAAGCTTTGAAGTTTCATTAGGTCCCATTTGTTTATTTTTGTTTTTATCTCCATTACTCTAGGAGATGGGTCAAGAAGGATCTTGCTGTGATTTATGTCATAGAGTGTTCTGCCTATGTTTTCCTCTAAGAGTTTGATAGTTTCTGGCCTTACATTTAGGTCTTTAATCCATTTTGAGCTTATTTTTGTGTATGGTGTTAGGGAGTGATCTAATCTCATACTTTTACATGTACCTATCCAATTTTCCCAGCACCACTTATTGAAGAGGCTGTCCTTTCTCCACTGTATATTCCTGCCACCTTTATCAAAGATAAGGTGACCATATGTGCATGGGTTTATCTCTGGGCTTTCTATCCTATTCCATTGATCTATCTTTCTGTTTTTGT